CTGGTGCGGACGACGAGCGACCTGTTCCGGCTGTTGCCCTTCTCCGTGTTTGTGATTATCCCCTTCATGGAGCTCCTGCTTCCTGTGGCTCTCAAGCTCTTCCCTGGCATGCTTCCCTCCACGTTCGAGACGGCCAACGAAAAGGTATGACTCGCTTCCTTTCTGAATGAGTGAGTGCGTGTGAATGGAGTACGGAATGCTTGTTTGAATGAGAATGAATATGCTAGAATACATTTTGTTTTGATTGAGAAGGAATACAGTACAGTTTGCTGGTGTGTGAATGAGGGTGAATACAATACAATACTTTCTTTATTAATGTAAATGAATACACTCATGTTTGAATGAAAATGAATATAGTAGAATGTATTGTTCTGGATGAGAGTGAATACAGTAGAATACATTTTGTTCGGAATGAGGATGAATACAATACAATACACTTTCTTTTGGGTGAGAATGAAGCTACACTGTACTTATTTTTGAAGAAGGTATGGATGCAAGTGAATCATTTCCCGGTGCAAAGTATGTAATTGATGTTTTCGTATTGCTGCTTCATTTAAACCACGCAATGAAGGTGTAATATCAGAATGTCAATTACAAATCTGTTCTGAAAAAATTTTGTTGCAGTGTTATGAACTTTGAAATTATATACTATGTAAAGTTATGAGTATTTCTGGTTCAGATGAAATTAAACAAGTGTTAATGCAATTAGATTACTTAACTGTCCATAAAGTTTTACAAGGTTTACAAATTCATGATTTATAAATATCATAACATTATTGTTACTCATATTATTAGATATTATCATTATTATTGATATTGAATTTTGCTTTTTGCACTTCCAGGAAGCTAAAATGAAGAAGAGACTGAAAGTGAAATTAGAGATGGCGAAGTTCCTGCAACAGACGCTTGACAACATGGCAGTGCAGGCCAAAGGTCACCGGTCGGAAAGTGCAAGAGAGTTTGTGATGTTTTTCGAAAAGGTAGAGTTTTCCTTTTTAAGTGTTCTCTTTTTGTGTGTGTTCTTTTTCTTGTGTTTTGGCAGTTCATAGGTATTTTTTTGAGTGTTTTGACAGATTACGCACGTGAAGTTGAGGAAGAAAAGATTCATTAATATGTAGACTAATACTTTTTTTTCAACCAAACAGATACAAAAAACAGGAGAGAATGTAAGTAATGAAGAGATTCTCAAGTTCAGCAAGTTGTTCCAAGACGAGATCACTTTAGACTCGCTGTCCCGGCCACAGCTAGTTGCTCTGTGCAAGCTCCTGGAGATGCAACCCTTTGGCACAAACAATTTCCTGCGATTTCAGCTGAGATTAAAACTCAGAAACTTGGCAGCTGACGACAGGGTGGGTTGATGAGTAATTCACATGTGTATATAAATTGGTATGTGTCATTAACTGCATACTAGTTATGATAGAAAACTTATTTGATACCAAAGTATATCTGATTGATGCATCATCTGATATCTTGCAGATTATTCAGCAAGAAGGTGTAGATTCCCTAGCTGTCTGGGAGCTCCAGCAGGCCTGCAGAGCCAGGGGCATGAGGGCGTATGGTTTGTCAGAAGAACGGCTGAGACTCCAACTGCACCAGTGGTTGGACTTGAGTCTTAACGAGAAGGTTCCCCCGTCATTACTCCTCCTGTCAAGGACACTGTACCTGCCAGAGAACGTGCGCCCATCAGACACCTTGGCAGCCACCATCTCCACCCTGCCAGAGGAGGTGGGTTTATGCTTTGAAATGTGCTTGCTGCTGCAGAGGAAAGTCTTTGTGTGACATTATTTTGACGTTATTGTTATCTTTTTTTTTTTTTTTTTGTATCATCTTGAGGGTAAATTTACTTTGTTTGCTTTATTGTATTACAATCTGGTGTAAATCTGTACAAGCCATTAGGTACAGAGAATTATATTTATATTTATAATTTCCAATTTAGGTCGCCACTCGCACCAAAGCAGCCATTGGCAAGCGCGAGGGCAAGATTGACAACCTGACGCGTCTGGAAGTGATCCAAGTAGAAGAGAGGAAGATTGCCGAAGATAAGAAGGAGTTGGAACGCGTGTTGGAAGAGAAGAAGCTGAAGGAGGAGCAGGCGAAGAAGAAGGCGGAGGAGGTATGGAGATCGGGATTTCGTTTCACTTTCTGGTGGAAGGTTTTGTGTGTGTGTGTGTGTGTGTGTGTGTTTGTGTGTGTGTGTGTGTGTTTGTGTGTGTGTGTGTTTGTGTGTGTGTGTGGGCGTGTGTGTGCATGTGTGTGCGTGTGTGCATGTGTGTGTATGTGTGCGTGCGTGAGTATGTGTGTGCGTGTGTGTGTATGTGTGTGCATGTGTATGCAAGTGTGTGTGTCTCCCCTTCCTATCCTCTTCCCCCTCACCCCCTCCTCTCTCCTCTCTCCTCCCTCCTCCCTCCTCCCTCCTCCCTCCTCCCTCCTCCCTCCTCCCTCCTCCCTCCTCCCTCCTCTCTCCTCCCTCCTCCCTCCTCCCTCCTCCCTCCTCCTTCCTCCTACCTGCTCCCTCCTCCCTTCATCCCTCTGCTCCCCTCCTTCCTCTGTCCTCCCTCCTCCCTCCTCCTCCCTCGTCCTTCCTCCTTCCTCCTTCCTGCTCCCTCCCTTCATCCCTCTGCTCCCCTCCTTCCTCTGTCCTTCCTCCTCCCTCCTCCTTTTATCCCTCCTCCCTCTCCTCCCTCCCTCTGCCCCTCTCCCCCTTTCTTCCACCTCCAACTTTCCTCTCACTGATTCTCTCTCTATTTTTATCTCCTTTGCTCTCCCTCTTTTATCCCTCCTTCCCTCTCTCTCTCTCTTTCTGCCTTGTATGTTCCAAATATAAACCAGAGATTATTGTCGACAGGAGGCGCAGCGACAAGAGGAAGCAGTACAAAAAGCTGCCAAGGAAACCGAGGCAGAAATTCTCCTTCCTGGCGCCGACGTGTCTCAGCTAACTCCCTCGGCGAACAAGATCTTGACGGAAGGAGTGCAGGTTGCAAAGGCCACCGTGTCTGCTTCAGGAGAGATTGAGGTGAGTTCCCTTTCCCTTCTTTGGTCTGGCATCTCCGTTTCCCTGTTAATGCTTTGTCGAAGAAATTGTAATACGCCTTTGGTAGAGACTGTTTTTTTTTTTTCATTTTTTTTTTTTATTTAATTTTTTTTTGAAATAAGAAAACTCTAGGGTAGTTGATCAATGAATGCATTATATAGAGCAGATATTTTCTTTGGTATTGTAAGAATGAAGTGAAAAATGTTCATTTTCTATTTCCCATTCTGGAAGGCGGACAAAGAGAAACTGGTTGACAAAGCGCCAGTATTGGAAGATAAAGCTGAAGTGCTGAGCGAGGAGGTGCCCAAGTTGGCCGTGGAGGTTGCAGCTGCCAAGGAGCTAACAGAGGTGAGGATTGTTATTTAAACTCTTGATGGATGGTCTCTTGATAGGTGGCAAAGAGTATGAGGATTGTTTTATGTATTAGATTTAGATGGAGGTTCTCTAGAGTGTGATATAGGCTAGCTAATTGGTTGAGTGAAAAAAGAATTAGTTTAAAGTTTTTAATGGGTGTTCTCAATTGTAATATATTGGAGACAAAGCATGGAAATGTTGTTAGTAATTTTTGAAAAATGTCTTGATTTTATACACAAATATTTCCTTATGGTTAGTATAGGTGGTTTATACGAACTACAGCTAGAATTGTTAGATGGATATTCTAATATGCTCCATATATTTGAATTAGAATATAGGAAATGTAGTTTTGATTTTTTTATGAATATATTTCATGTACAGTGTGGGTGGTTTAAGATTATAAGACTCTCTTTTTTTAGATTAAAGAATTTGATATTTGAGGGGGTTTAGGATAAAAGTGAACAATTATCCCAATGGTGATGGGTTAAGAAACCAAAAAAAAAAATAAACTCTACGCTCTGATGTTACATCAGGCCGAATCACCGGCTCACTGCGCTTTGGCACGCCGTTGCCACGTACAGCCACGCGCTACATTTCGAGGGGTTTGTTTTCACACCTATCGGCATCACCCGTCATGAAGGGGTTAAGCTTTAGGTGTCTTATGCTCATCGTAGGCAGTGTAAGACATAAAGAGAGAGAGACACTCAGCACATGTTTCTTGTTCAACAGCTGACGGCAGAGGACCTTCGCGAGGTGGAGGAGGCTCTGGAGACCCTGGGAGTGGAGAAGAACAGGCTCATCATAGAAGAACGGGAACTCTCTGAGCTGAAGAATGAGCTGGCAGACTACCAGGAGGACGTGGAGGACTTTAAGAAGGTGAGGTGTCGGCCGAGGAGGAGGACTCTTCTGTGCCGTTGCTCTTGAATCTGTGGCCTCATTTTCGGTCTTGGATTTACCTGTAGAGTGAGGTTCAGAAAATATTCATTTTTAGGTCTAGAAACAACAGGAGATTTGATGATGATTTGCATCTGTTCTAAGATGGTTAAAGTTTAGATATTTAAGTCTTCTCGCTGGTGGAACTGATATACTCTTATTCTTTTTCTTATTTCTGTCTTTCCTCTTTGCAAAGATGACCTTGTCAGCCCTAATGGAAAAGATGGTAAACACAGACAGAGACAATCTGCATCACAGATAGAACCCTGCTTATTGTAGCTTAGTTGACCCGTGTTAGTAAGTGGTAGTTTTCCCAAGATTCGTGCGGTGTCTCTTCACCAGATTGCTTGCGGTTGTTGAGATCGTTTGGATTAAGATTTTTTTTTTTTTTTTTTTTTTTTTTTTTTTTGAAAGGGAGTTATGTGCATAAAAAAATATTGTTTACTCCTTTCTCATTTTCTTTCTCTCTCTGTGGGTGTGGGCATGGATTTGGGTGTGGGTATATTATGTATGATATATATGTATATTGGTAATTTTGCATGTCAAGCATGAAATGGGCTGCTAACTGGAATGAATCCAGTATTCTTTTCTACATCAGTTATTTATATATATATACAGTGCTCTTTGCTGCAGGATTTGAGGATGACCACTTCAGATAGGGGGAGACTGAAATTATGAAGTTTAAGTAAATGGAGTCTATGTAATTATGTTATGGATGTCACAAAGAAGAAAAATAGGGTAAATTCACTTTAAATATTCTCCGATATCCAGTTTAGAGATTTGATTTTTTTGCAGCTAGTTGCTATAATATCATATCATTGTATTTAGTTTGATATGACTGCATAAAACAGTTTTGTGTAATAAAACATAATATGACTGTCATACATGAACTGTGCTCTGTTTGTACAATTTTGCATTCAGATCAGATTATGTTACTGCGTAGTTGAACATCATGCACTATAATTTTCATGATCATGCAGCTTTTGTTCCATGCCTTTCTGTTCTTTGCCTTGCTACACGACTTTATATACAAGCTCAGTGATTGATTAAACTCTGCAGAACAACTTTACTTGCAAGTGAACTGTTCTATATATTGTGCTGAATACAGGCAGGATCATAGTGATATTAGTAAGTGATCCTTCATTTGTGCACTTGATTATTTGTTTCGCTTGTAAATTAAGTTGCTTCAGCAGTAAATAGAAGCAGAAGTTTCCCTAAGAATGTGAAACTTTTCTTTACTTTTCAAAGATGATCAACAACTTAGGACAGATGCATTCACATCCGCCTCCTTAGTCTTGATTATCTTTGCAGTTATCAGAATGGTACGAACTGTTTAATTTTTTATTGGATGGCTTAATGGTATGGCTTATCCTGATAACTGCAATACAGAGCATTTGCTGTGTTTTATGGGGTGACTGTGATTAATTTGCGGCATTTGCTCTCGGGAGTTTAGAAACGGATTAAAAATTCTCAAATGTATATCTTGTAACACCAAAACATGTCAGGAAATTTTTAAAAAATTTATAGCCCACCACAAGGGTAGCCAGATTTCTGGATTGCCTTTTTCTTGGGCTGAGGTGAATTTCTTGATTATTGAGCCTTGACTACCTTGCATAGGAAGACAAGTTTTGAAACTGATTTACTCACAGTAGCCTTAAGTTATGTAACACATGTTCACAGAAGAAAATTATAATGTATTTCTTGTCCTTTTTACTTAAATGGTATCAGCTGTGTAATTGTTTTATGTAATGTTTTGCTTATTACTTACTGATAAAAAGATCTTGAAACTTCAGTTTGAAATAGGATATTAAATCTCTCATGCATAAGAATTACTAAATATCAGTAGAAAAGGAATTTTGTTTAGTGTTGTCATCCTGTAAATAATGTATACAAAAAATGTCTATATAAGTGAATAAAGATGTAATATACTTTTGCAGCTGATTTTGTTGATATTGACTGTAATGCCACTAGCAGGGAGAGGCAACATAATCTAATCTTTTGCTTATCTGGCTCAAAGTGTCGTTGGATTTGTGACGTAAGCACTCTCATATGTTGTATTCATTTACTATACAAGGCGGTGAAGTGTATGAATGGAGATATGTTTAAAAACCTCCTATTGATTGATCCCCAGCAGCACGTCCAAAATTTTCTACAGGATTTAGGAATTGAGCAATGAATATCCGTATTGTTCTTGCTAACCATTTCCTACATGCATTGTTTTCATGAGCAGTGGGGCTATACATTTGAATATATAAGATTTAAGGAAAAGGGAACTAAGAAAAGATTAATTAGAAAAAATTATTAGAACACTTCTGTGTATTAAAGGTTTATATGGGTATTTTGATGAGTTGACAAGATTAATGCATGGATAATGGCAAAGATTTAAGAACTGTATATATGCAAATCCACACCCACACCCACTTGCATATGTACCCTTTACACAGACACAAACACACACATGCACATGCATATTCACACTCAGACACTCTCTCTCTCTCTCTCTCTCTCTCTCTCTCTCTCTCTCTCTCTCTCTCTCTCTCTCTCTCTCTCTCTCTCTCTCTCTCTCTCTCTCACTCTCAGTAAAATGCTGATCCATTTAGGTGCTATTGTCAAATGTTTAAAAAATATCACAGTGTATCCTGTTTATATTGACGAACTGTTTCACTTCATCTTTGTGTGGACACCTGTATTAGTGGAAATCTCATGATGTCTTTCCCTTCCGGTCCAGGCCCTGATCGAAGCTGGTCTGAACAAGAAGGAACTGCGAGAAAGCAAGGCAGCTCGAAGACTCTTCATCCGCGTGAACAAGATGATCAGCAAGATGGAGCCGTTGTTGGACGGCGTGGGGAAGGAGAAGGCTCAGCGGCAGAAGATTGTGGATGCTGGGGAAGCCAAGGCTAAGGATAAGTAAGTAGGACTTTTTTTTTTTTTTTTTCCCTGAATGTTACTTTAAATTTTCTTTCTCTTTATTACTTTATCTCTCTTTTACCCCTTTACTTTCTTCTTTTCTTCCACTTCCCCCCCTCCTCTTCCTCTTCCTCTACCCTTTTCCCCTCCCCCTCTCCTTCTCCTTATTGAATATGTTTCTCATTCATTAATTGCTCTATATAAGTATTCATCTTGCTCATTGCAGGGCTGAACTTGTGAACCTGGAAGAGTTGGCCCGCCACATGACCTACATCTGCCACGCTCCCGATACCTCCAAGGTGGAGATGATCCGGGACGTGTTGGCGAAAATGGACTTTGACCAAGATGGAGCTGTGAAGGTGGAGCACGTGCTGCGAGTCATGGAGCTCATGGTGGACGAGCAGGTGGGCGTCTCCCCGAAGCTGTTCGAAGAGGTGATCGAGATGGTTGCCAAGGAGGAGCAGCTGGAGACGGCCAAGCTCATCAAGCATGCCCTGGAATCTGCCAAGGTGAACTCCCAGGAGGAAGCCGCCGCCGCCTCCTCTCCATCATCTTCTGATTCTTCATCCTCTGTGTCGTCTTCTTCGTCTTCTTCAACACTCCAAGAAAGCGCGCCCCAGAGTATTGTTCAAGATGCTTCTCCGGTCGAGAGTGAATCGAAAATAGTGGCTGACGAAATAGACTTGAAAGATTACCAGGCCAACAAAGACTCAGTGATCGAATCTACAGACAAGACTGAAGTCAAGCAGCAGGCAAACAGAAGTCAATGACAAAGAGAAAAGAATGAGTAATATTGTTGGCAATTTAGTCACCTAACTACTCATTACCCTTTTGTTTCAGGAATCCAATAGATGTTTATTTATTTTTTACTTTGTGTAGCTATGAATTATCAGTCAGTCAGGTTTGAAGTATGGCCCTCATCCCAGTGATAGACAGTGAGATTTAATGCATGAGCATTTGCTTCGCCTGAGAATTTGAATACCTTCTGAGCAAAAGTTGTGAGCAATTCCATTGGCAAGAAATTCACACTGAAGGATCCTTCTGTTTTGGATTCATTATAAATTTATTAGAGGTTTATATAGATTCGGAATTTGATTAGAAGATGAGGTTTCTTACTCACTGATTTTGTTAGAAGTATAATGGTTTATGCAACCACCCAGATATCTTAAAAGCTTATTGTAAATAGGGAACAATACCGGCAGTACTTTTTCTGGTACTTACTTCCAGTATGGCATTTTTTGTGTGCAGTATATTTTAACCTGTAAGTACTTCTGTATAGGTCAACATTTTTTGTAAATAACCAGATTGTATTTATTATTATATCAGCTTGTATATGTGCTGTGATATTTGCAAAGATATATTGTTATTTGATTTTTGTTAGGGTGAATGAATGATGATGATGATGTTGGAGAGTATGTGTGAAGAGTTAGTCTGACGAGAGGAAGATGTGTTGCAGTTTGGCACATTTGAAGGAGGAACCTCACGAAGTCGTCAAATGTTATATTTGCGAATAAATACGTAACGAAGGGTTAACAGTAATGAAATCAAACAAATGTTTGCAATGTTTCCTATTGTTCCATTAAGCAATTGGTCTATAATTAGAATACTGTTAAATGTTTATCTGTTTATGGTACAATTTTGGTCATATTAGTTACTTAAAATGGTGAAATTAACCGGATTAGGATTTGGAATTTGGATTGTAATATATGCAAATATTAATGAATCAATGAAGAAATGCATTTCTGTTCTTTTAATTATTGACTTGTACTGTATTAGACAAATTACAGGTATATACATCAAAGAACATCACTATTTAATGAGGAAAAAAATAAAATTATTTTTTTTTTACTTTTGATTTTATTTTTCAGTTTTATTGCTGTAAAAGCATCCATACTTGTTTTGCATATAATCATTCAAAAAGAAACTTTTGAGTATGTTTTTATTACCACGATTTTTCTCTCTATCCTAAATTGTTTACATGGAAAACATAAAACACCTGATTTACCTGAAATAAATATGTTCACTTTTGCTCAAATAGAATAACAACTTTGCTGAGAAGAATAAACAATAATAAGTTTTTATTACACCAAAATTAAGTTTTAAAAATTACCTTGTAGTTTGGACCTTTCACTTACAGAGTTGTGACAATCAGTAAGCTAGAAAATAAGCATATTTTCAAAATATTATGATAAAAAAAATGAAAACAAAAGAGAGAAAGAAAGAAAAATACTGGAACTTTCTATATTATTAATGTAGGTAAATAAGACTGGATGGGCTGACTCAAAAAAAGAAGCAAAGAGATGTGGACAAATATTTTTACTTGCCACTCAAAATGCACTTTAATTTATGCCTGGATAGATAATTTGTGAATTGAATTCTTGGCACTAAGCTCATAGACTTGGAAGAAACTGACAGTATTTAACTGGCAGGAAAAGGCTGTGCTCATTTAAGAATTTTTTGAGAAGTGTTTCAGCACATAGGTGGCTCTGCAAGTGCTTAGCCACAAAGGAGTCAGTCAGTAGCCCTTGTGACCTTACCTGATTTCACCTTTCCTTGAATTTGTGTGTAGATTTTTTTTTTTTTAAACAATGCTATCAATATTGCTGGTGTTATTTTTTTTTTATATAAACATTATAATTACTGTAATGTTATTAATGTAAATAGTGGCAATATAATATAACAAAGCTATTTTAAAGAATCAAGGAAAATGGTAAACAGGTGAGACAACTGTATTAAAGAATAAGGAAAATGGTAAACAGGTGAGACAAGTTCATTGGTTATGTTGTACAAGTAGAGCCATCTATGTGTAAAAACAATTAAAGTAAACTCAAAGTGGGCATGGCATGTATACATATACCATGCACATTGATTTTGGGGTAATATAGTCCGTTCAGGGGTTCAATACCTCTACTAGAATATTATAGTTTATAGAAGAAAAACAGTATAGATTGTAAACAGCCTATTAAAAGTACCAAAGTGTCATATAGTCAAGAAGTCAGTGTTTTTAATTTAAAAGTACTGGGCTTGAGCCAAACCAATTGCAGCTGCAAACAAGAACACCCCATTAAATAATGAAGCTCAACTACATGTTATTTTCAAAGTTAGTAGTACAATAGTAGAAGCTTAACCCACTAAAGCTTGAGTGACATTCTTTGATGTCCTATCACGTCATGTTAGAACACCCCTCGTGACGGGATGACATCCTTGTCATGCATGGAAAAGCCTCCAAGTTGTGCACACTTAATAGTCATATGGTCAACCCTAGATGCAGCTGTTAAGGAGAAATAGCCCCTCAGAAGTAGGCTTAAAACTTCTTTAGCATCAATACCCAATTTTTTTTTATGCTGCAGCTAAGAGCATAAAGAGTGAGGTAATTTTACTTTCCCATGCTTCTGATTTTTCCCTCGAGCAGCCAACTCCTTGTGTACCTTGACACGTTTGGGAGGTCCCTTTGTGAGTAGGTTAAGAAGGAAAATTCTTATCAAAATAAACATCCAAAATAAACTTTCTCTGGCTCCTGCTACTGAGTGAGAACCTCATAAGAAGCTGAAGTCTGGGGTTCTTACTAGGATTGCTTCTCTCTTTGGCATAAATTATCAGCTCCTGAATTAAAATATTATTGCATCCTAAATCACAGGAACCACTTTTGTGTAAAATAAACAGAAAACTCAAATCCACAGCAGATATGACAGAGAAATGACAGTTTCAAATACAGCAATCAGTTATACAGTTTTGTACTTTAATGCAGTAAACTTTTTGATCTTTTAACAGTCAAAGTTTTATGTTACATCCCATGAGCTATGTATATACCTTTTGAATTTTTGTGTTCTGTTATACTTTTATAAAAGTCACAGATGCAGTGATATTACTAAAAAAATTGAAAAAATCAAAAGAAATACCAAAACATTCCATACTATTTTCTCAAACTAAACCTTCAATTACCATTCTGTCAAAAATTTATTTTATAGTTTGGGTGCTGCAATCAGCATTATTGCACATGTCATTTCACAACATAGACTATGGTAGATAGACTTTTGGATCCACTCTGCAGCAGAGTAACTGGTCAAGGGATCACATTTTCTTTGGTAAATCAAAAGTTATTCTCCAAAAGGAAAAACAATCATAGGATCTCAATGTGTTAGTTGTTTTTTTAAAAGTCGATTGATTCATTATGGAAGCCCAACTTGGAAATTATAAACAACACCTGCTTTTACAGATAACTTTGAAATCCCTTCTCAACTGATCCAGAATTGTGATCATTCCTTTGTAATAATGATAATGGAGTCGCTTATTCAAATGATATAGACCAGTTCCTTATTCAGTGTATAATACTTTGAATGTGTCAGTTGGCTGATATTTTATTATCCAACGCCATTCATTCTTTATATTTTATTGTTTCAAAGAATATATTAATGTTACCTGTAATAAACAAACATGGTGGAATGGGTAATGAAACTTAACTTATATTTGATCATTTTAATAATATGACAATATGTTGATTCACTATATACACTATATATATATATATGGAGCTATTACCGAGTGAGTGAGAGCGACCAGGTCCTTGCTTTTTAATTTCAAGGCTTGTTCATTTCCTATGCAGAGATAATATTCATATATATGTCACTTAAAGTGAGTACTACTAATAATAACAGATATAACAAAGGTATGAATATGATATCATATTAACCCATTGCCGCCGGCGATGGCATGAACGTACATGCCATGCCCACTTTGAGTCGACTTGTTCGATTGTTTTTACACGTAGATGGCTACACTTGTACTAAGTATCTAATGAGCCAATTACAGTACTGCCTGTCTCGCCCGTTCACCCTTTTCATCGATTTACGAAAATATTTAACGTTATCCAAATTTGCTGTTAAAAATAACGCCATCTATATTTATAGCACTAGTAAAAATATGTTTTTTCCCACCAATTCAAGGAAAGGTGAAATCAGGACTAGCAGAGCCATCTATGGACAGAGATATTTCACAAAAATATAAAAAATGAGTACTGCATTTCCCCCATTTTTTGTTCATTTTCCCCGGCGGCAATGGGTTAATATAAAAACTTAAAGATTATTTTGTTGTTTGTTATATGGGACTATCAAATATCTGTTTTGAGTCCTTATTGCAAAATCATAGAGGCAATGTTTGCATCATGCACTGAAGCCTTTGAGACTGCATTGCATTTTAGTGAACAGTTACACTGATAATGTAAAACTGATAGGTGACACCAATTGGCTGACAGAAGTACATGCAAGCAGTTTTTTTTTAAATTCACAACTATAACTTACAAGAATTCCTTTGCTTACACTTCAGTCTTGATAGGTTTTAGCAACTGGAGATACATGGATTAGATTACTACTAAAGAGGGCAGCCTCCTCTGGCAGCCTTTCGAGAATTTTGCTTAAATATCTTAAGGGGTTTAGACAAGGTCTAATGCAAAGCCCTGGTAGCCATAATTCCTAATTTTAGCTATACCCATCCACCCTGTAAAGTAACTATTATTGTAATTATTAATATCAATGTAAGCCAAATAAAGAACCACATCGAAAAATTTAAGAATAATAGCACCAAAGGAGTCAAAGCAAGACAAAACACAGCAAAGAAAGAAAGAGAAGATACAAAATCATCTGCTATTTACATAGTAAAAACATATTTACTGATCTTTTGAACTTATCTGAGTTGCAAAAGTTACAGATATCCAGCGTCTTCTCTGGCCACTCTATTAATGATGCCACAATATGTAGCAATTTCTTCTTTTCATAAATCACATTCAGTCTATTTCTAACCCTATCCTTTTCTTATGCAGCTTCAACTTTCTATTTAGCTTCTGCTGTCATATCCATATTTTTTGCCATATAAGATCATTTTTTTTTTATCTTGTGAAATTCTCTAAAAATTGCCTACATCCAATGATGTGCAGGTGCTGTTTAGGCAAGTCCCTGCTGAAAGTTCAGCTTTACTAAATTCCTATACAGTCAGTACCATGAATCCTGTTTTTGTGGGAACTTTGTATATAGTCAGCAGAGTTAAAGGAAATAATCAATAATACACACTACCAAGTTGTCCATAGGCACAAATATGTTGTGGAAATCTAAAGGTTTTTGGGGACTTTTTTCTGTAATCTTTGCTAAAAAGGCAGTGCATCCTTTGACATGTGGCATCTTATTCCAGATGCAGTATTTATTTATTTATTGAACATTTCTGCTGCATATTATAGTAAAAGAAAGAAGAGAAGATACAAAATCATCTGCTATTTACATAGTAAAAACATATTTACTGATCTTTTGAACTTATCTGAGTTGCAAAAGTTACAGATATCCAGCGTCTTCTCTGGCCACTCTATTAATGATGCCACAATATGTAGCAATTTCTTCTTTTCATAAATCACATTCAGTCTATTTCTAACCCTATCCTTTTCTTATGCAGCTTCAACTTTCTATTTAGCTTCTGGTGTCATATCCATATTTTTTGCCATATAAGATCATTTTTTTTTTATCTTGTGAAATTCTCTAAAAATTGCCTACATCCAATGATGTGCAGGTGCTGTTTAGGCAAGTCCCTGCTGAAAGTTCAGCTTTACTAAATTCCTATACAGTCAGTACCATGAATCCTGTTTTTGTGGGAACTTTGTATATAGTCAGCAGAGTTAAAGGAAATAATCAATAATACACACTACCAAGTTGTCCATAGGCACAAATATGTTGTGGAAATCTAAAGGTTTTTGGGGACTTTTTTCTGTAATCTTTGCTAAAAAGGCAGTGCATCCTTTGACATGTGGCATCTTATTCCAGATGCAGTATTTATTTATTTATTGAACATTTTCTGCTGCATATTCATAG